GGTGGGAGCGACTGAAGGATTCTGTCAATGACCGCCTCGTCTGGGAGGTTAATGTCCAGCTGGGTCAGGCGGTTGTCCAACCCAGCCATTTTGAGTATGTGCTCACTGACAGAACTATTTTCCTCCATCTTACAACTATAGAACTTGTCGGAGACTTCATATCTCTCGACCCGGGCATGAGCTTGGAAAACTAGTTTCAGCTCCTCGAACATCTCATATGCTCCGTGTTGCTCAAAACGCTTTTGGAGCCCCGGTTCTAAGCTGTAAAGCATGCCGCACTGAACGAGGGAGTAATCATCAGCACGAGACTGCCAAGCGTTCATAACGTCTTGGTTCTCTGGAACGGGTGCATCACCTAGCTGTCCTTCTAGGACATATTGTTTCCTGGCAGTTATGAGGATGATCCTCAGGTTCCGGACCCAGTCCGTATAGTTGCTGCCATCATCTTTCAGCTTGGTTTTCTCTAGGAACACGTTGAAGTTCATGTTGACATGAGCGTTGGCTATTTGATCTACAAGACATATTTGCAAAGGTTTTTAGACTAAGTTCATGATAATTAAGTTCATCTAATCAAATTATTACAATGAAATCCCACTCAGATTAGACATCCCTCTAGTCATCTAAGTGTTACACGATCCGAGTCGACTAGGCCGTGTCCGATCATCACGTGAGACGGACTAGTCATCGTCGGTGAACATCTCCATGTTGATCGTATCTTCCATACGACTCGTGTTCGACCTTTTGGTCTCTGTGTTCCGAGGCCATGTCTGTACATGCTAGGCTCGTCAAGTTAACCCTAAGTGTTTTGCATGTGTAAAACTGTCTTACACCCGTTGTATGTGAACGTAAGGATCTATCACACCCGATCATCACGTGGTGCTTCGAAACGACGAACTTTAGCAACGGTGCACAGTTAGGGGAGAACACTTCTTGAAATTGTTGTAAGGGATCATCTTATTTACTACCGTCGTTCTAAGTAAACAAGATGCATAAACATAATAAACATCACATGCAATTATATAGTAGTGACATGATATGGCCAATATCATATAGCTCCTTTGATCTCCATCTTCGGGGATCCATGATCATCTTTGTCACCGGCATGACACCATGATCTCCATCATCATGATCTCCATCATCGTGTCTTCATGAAGTTGTCACGCCAACGACTACTTCTACTTCTATGGCTAACGCGTTTAGCAATAAAGTAAAGTAATTTACATGGCGTTCTTCAATGATACGCAGGTCATACAAAAATAAAGACAACTCCTATAGCTCCTGCCGGTTGTCATACTCATCGACATGCAAGTCGTGATTCCTATTATAAGAACATGATCTCATACATCACAATATATCATTCATCATTCATCACAACTTTTGGCCATATCACATCACATGTCAATTGCTGCAAAAACAAGTTAGATGTCCTCTAATTGTTGTTGCATCTTTTACGTGGCTGCAATTGGGTTCTAGCAAGAACGTTTTCTTACCTACGAATAACCACAAAGTGATTTTGTCAACTTCTATTTACCCTTCATAAGGACCCTTTTCATCGAACCCGCTCCAACTAAAGTGGGAAAGACAGACACCCGTCAGCCACCTTATGCAACTAGTGCATGTCAGTCGGTGGAACCGGTCTCACGTAAGCGTACGTGTAAGGTTGGTCCGGGCCGCTTCATCCCACAATACCGTTGAAGCAAGAAAAGACTAGTAGTGGCAAGCAAGTTGACAAGATCTACGCCCACAACAAAATTGTGTTCTACTCGTGCAATAGAGAACTACGCATAGACCTAGCTCATGATGCCACTGTTGGGGAACGTTGCAGAAAATTAAAAATTTTCCTACGGTTTCACCAAGATCCATCTATGAGTTCATCTAAGCAACGAGTCATGGGAGAGAGATTGCATCTACATACCACTTGTAGATCGCGTGCGGAAGCGTTCAATGGAAGGGTGATGATGGAGTCGTACTCGCCGTGATTCGAATCACCGATGACCAAGTGCCGAACGGACAGCACCTTCGCGTTCAACACACGTACGAAACGGACGACGTCTCCTCCTTCTTGATCCAGCAAGGGGGAAGGAGAGGTTGAGGAAGATGGCTCCATCAGCAGCACGACGGCGTGGTGGTGGTGGAGCAGCAGTACTCCGACAGGGCTTCGCCAAGCTCGTGACGGAGGAGGAGAGGTGTTGGGGAGGGGAGGGGCTGCGCCTTGGTTGTGTCCAGCAGCCCTCCCCTCAGCCCTCTATTTATAGGGAAGGGGCAAGGGGGGCCGGCCCCTCTAGATGAGATCTAGAGGGGTGGCGGCGGCCAGGGAGGGGGGCTTGCCCCCCAAGCAAAGGGGGCGCCCCCACTAGGGTTTCCCCCCCAACCCTAGGCGCATGGGCCCAAGGGGGGGGGGGGCGCCCAGCCCTCCAGGGGCTGGTTCCCTGCCCCTTGCGGCCCATGAGGCCCTCCGAGAGGGGTGGACCCCCGGAACCTCTCTGGTGGCCCTGGTACAATACCGATATGCCCTCGAAACTTTTCGGTGTCCGCATGACAACTTCCCATATATAAATCTTCACCTCCGGACCATTCCGAAACTCCTCGTGACGTCCGGGATCTCATCCGGGACTCCGAACAACATTCGGTAATCACATACAAGTCTTCCTAATAACCCTAGCGTCACCGAACCTTAAGTGTGTAGACCCTACGGGTTCGGGAGACACGTAGACATGACCGAGACGACTCTCAGGCAATAACCAACAGCGGGATCTGGATACCCATGTTGGCTCCCACGTGCTCCTCGATGATCTCATCGGATGAACCACGATGTTGATGATTAAACAACCCCGTATTCAATTCCCTTTGTCAATCGGTACGTTACTTGCCCGAGACTCGATCGTCGGTATCCCAATACCTCGTTCAGTCTCGTTACCGGCAAGTCACTTTACTCGTACCGTAATGCATGATCCCGTGACCAACCACTTGGTCACTTTGAGCTCATTATGATGATGCATTACCGAGTGGGCCCAGAGATACCTCTCCGTCATACGGAGTGACAAATCCCAGTCTCGATCCGTGTCAACCCAACAGATACTTTCGGAGATACCTGTAGTGCACCTTTATAGTCACCCAGTTACGTTGTGACGTTTGGTACACCCAAAGCACTCCTACGGCATCCGGGAGTTACACGATCTCATGGTCTAAGGAAAAGATACTTGACATTGGAAAAGCTCTAGCAAAACGAACTACACGATCTTGTGCTATGCTTAGGATTGGGTCTTGTCCATCACATCATTCTCCTAATGATGTGATCCCGTTATCAATGACATCTGATGTCCATAGTCAGGAAACCATGATTATCTGTTGATCAACGAGCTAGTCAACTAGAGGCTTACTAGGGACATATTATGGTCTATGTATTCACACGTGTATTACGATTTCCGGATAATACAGTTATAGCATGAATAAAAGACAATTATCATGAACAAGGAAATATAATAATAATCCTTTTATTATTGCCTCTAGGGCATATTTCCAACAATTCCTGACCCAGCGAAGGGCGCGATGGCAGTTGACATCCTTAGCTAGGCCATGAATTAGGCCGTCTCCGACGACCCTAAACAGAGGAAGAAGTGGCGCAAGTACACGACTTACTTTGCTCCTAATGACCGCCGTGCCCCAGTGTACTGGGAGACGGATATCGCGCCGCCAGCGGTCATCGGCGGGGAGCCTAAGGAGGAGGAGGAAGAGGCGGTGCACATGCCAGCTAGGGCGCCGGAGCCAGTCCGTCCTACCTGGCAGATCGACCTCGACTCCGCCGAGGACGACGGGGATGACCCGCCGGCCCGCACGGCGATGAAGAAGAAGATGAAGGCCAGCGACTCGATCAGCCGCTCCACTCTATTGACGGCCGCCGCGGTCAGCCGGTGTCCGTTCTGTACCCCCTTTTCCCCTATTCCCCCTATTCCCCTATCCCCCAATCCCAAAGTCTACCGATCTTGCATGTATGAACTCGTATGAACTGATATGCACTAGTATGAATTAGCCCTATGCTTAGCTACCTCTATTCCCCATTCCCGTCCGCTGTGGATCGAATCTATCGCCGTCGATCGAATCTAGCGTTCATGTCGAAGAGAGAGAAGTGCTTACCGCCATTGATGGAGTCCGGTGGTCTTCTTCCTCTGCTTCGATCCGCCGCCGCCGGTGATGGTGTCCGGTGGTCTTCTTCCTCTGCTCCGATCTGCCGCCGCCGGTGAGAGTTGGGAGAGTGGGGAAGAGTGGGGAGAGGGAGCGGTGAGGGGCGGTGAGGCTAATAACTGCCAGTGCTTCAGGAAGCAACGCGGCTTCTCGAGCGTGCCTGCGCGCGTGCATCCGCGCCCGCCCACGTGCACCGCTCGGGCCTGGCCCTGGAGAAACTGCCGATTCGTGCGTTTCCAGTGAGTCAGGCCCTGAGATGCTTTAAGAAGCGTGCGATGCAGACCCAATAGTGTATGCGGGCTACCAAACAGGCCCAATCCTTCCCGCGCGGGCCTGGTTGGACCTCATGCGGGCAACCAAACACGCCCATAGGACCTCCCCGTGGAGGATGCTCGCCAATAGAGGGCTGACACGTGGGCGGATGTCAACTTTCACACTGAAAATATCTAGACAAGTTTGATTCAGCAAAACCATTTCTTATTTAGTTTGTACATGATTCTAGAGAGTCAGAGAGAGAAAACTGATACTCACAATGCAATAAGCTTATAGACGGAAACATATATACTTTGGGGGAAAAAAGCACATTCCTGCGGCTGAACGTGCGTGAATATCCAACCGATAGCCAAATACACTGATCAATGGAACGACACACAATCCAGAAACACACTGATAAATACGTACATAAACATCATTCGTGCAGTGCAGGCGGCGTGGTCTTCTCGATCGATCGTCTGGTTAATTTGGCCACCGATAAGCAGTGATTACACGAATACCGTATAAATTTGGTTTCATGCAGCATGGATATGCACATGGATGGGTCAGTACAACTGAGCCCCGGACGTGTACGTGCCGCCGAACCACCACCCGGGCGGCGCGACGTCGTTGGCCGTGACGACGCGGCCGTCGTCGGATTTGACGCGGAACGAGAGGCTCTGCCCGTCGAGCTTGGCGTTGCTCTGCCAGTTTGCGCCCCAGTTCCGGCTCATCTCCATCCAGTTGGTGCGGGAGCCCTTGATCCACATCTGCGCCACGCCACCGCTGCCGCCCACGTTGGTCACCAGCACCAGCTCGAAGTAGCTGTGCCCGTTGATGGTGAACCTGATCCCGCCGCTCCGCTGGCAGCGCACCCTCCTGTAGTTGACGGGGACGATGCCGGCCTTGTACACAGCGATGGTCTCCCACGCCGGCTGGGCCATGTCGAAGTGCTGCCGCGGCGGGTTGCACCAGCCGCCGTTGTCGCCGGCGAGCGCGTAGTTGGGCGGGCAGAAGTTGGTGGCCGTGACGGTGATGGAGGTCCCCGGCTTGCACATCCGCGACTTGCGCGTGTCGCACGCGATCGTGAAGCACGCCCCGCAGGACGCGCCGTTGTTGAAGAGGGCGGTGCTCAGCGCCGTCGTCTGCGTGCCGTACCCCGCGCCGTACAGGTTGCCGTACCCGCAGGCGCCGCCTGATGAGATCCGTGCATGGGTGCATGTCAGCATAAGGAGCATAAGCCATGTACTGTAGTCACAATCCAAACATCCTCTTAAATTTGGCGAAAAAGATGTCGAGCTACGAGCCGAATTGACTCACCCATGGTGCCGGACGCGTCGCCGCCGCCGTAGAACGTCGCGTGGGCGGGCGTCCATTGAGCCGCCGATGCTGCCCGGAGCAGCAATGCGAACAGCGCTGGGAGCAGGAGCATCTTGATGACCGCCATGTCGGTGATCGATCCCATCGAGCAAGACACGGTGCTAATACAAGATCGTACTCTGCTTGGAATGTCCTTGCTTAACTGTACGTCCTGTGTTCTGCGGAAGCATGTGCCGGCACGCCTATATATATATACTGCCCTTGGTGCAGGCAACTGGAGTTGCAACTACGGTACAGTATTCATCAGTCGGTCGCTACCGACCGGCTGACGGGGCCACGAGAGGCGTATTGACATTTCATGTTCCAAGGGGAGATTTGCAGTGTGAAAGCGAGCGTGCTTAGCGCGTCGGTGTTTTCTTTGAGAAGCGAGTATCTCGGCTGCGTGCATGGTAGGCTGCTCTTGACTTTTCGCGCAGCTGCACGTTGAGTTCATGATTGGATTGGATTGGATTGGATTGAATGCTAATGTCTGGCGGAGCAGCAAAACTTTGTGCTGCCTATTATATGAGATTCTGGATAAACGGTGTTCATGTGCATGTGAGTTCTCCCGGCTGCTTATCAGCGGATGAAGTCACCTGTGAGGTGATGAGCATGTCATAGCTTGCCCGCCCTGTCTCTCAGTTTTCAGCACGAACGGTCGAGTTACCCCTATGGTTTGATCACTGCAAAATGCATGGTTAAAACATTTGTATAAATGCAGACGCTCGCATACATGATTTAAGACACCATTTTGGCTTCACCGCCGCAACCATCACATTTGTTTTAAAAAGGAGGATTACCCCGGCCTCTGCATCACCATAACGCACATAACCATCATTATTAGTTAGGGATAATTAGATTTATGCCCCTAGTTGTATTACACTCGTCTGTTTTACCCCTAATTTTCAAAAGTTGCCAGTTTTATCCAAGTCACTTTGCTCCTCTTATGCTTTTGCCCTTTTATCGTTTGACCGACAGTTTGAAAACTTTTTTAACACTTTTTTCATGAATGCAAATGACACTGACATATAGGTGATGTTTTTCTAAACATTTTGGTATCTTATTTACATTTTTTGATTTAGTATGTATTAATTATGAGGTTTTCAAACTGACGGTCAAATGGTCAAAGGGCAAAAGCATAAGAGGAGCAAAGTGACTTGGACAGAACCGGTGAATTTTAGAAACTAGGGATAAAATAGACGAGTGGGACACAACTAGGGGCATAAAACTAATTATCCCTATTAGTTATTCACCAGAGTCTGACAAAATTAGTACAAGGATCAACCTGAAGCCCCCTTCTAGGCGAACAAAGTCGCTACACCTACACAAATATAGATGTGCCTTGTCCGCATAACAGACACAAATCTAATCCAGCGGTCTTAATACCAGCTGGTCTAGGCATTCTAGAACGTGCACCGCCTGCGCACGCTGAAGGATCCGCCGCCGCCATCTTCCACCATCCCTTCTTTAGAAGGAATCACTGCATAGATCTTGCCAGTCCCATCTGTCGTCGACGTCACCACGACACCAGACAACGCCACCAGCATGCGTGCGTCGATCAAACCGCGTCCAACTCTGAGACTCCACTGCTCCATGCCGCCGAGACCCACCGTCTTCAATGCGGTCGAATTAACAAAGGTCCACCTGTTGGCCTCTCCAGTGAATCACTACTCCAAGATGATGCCCCCAGGAGGGAGAACGACACCAAAGTCTCCATCGTCATTCGATCTGGGAGACCCAGATCTAGGGCTTTCCCGTAACAGTTACTACCTGGAGGAAGAGGGGCACGCCATCTGCAACTGTCGATGCACCCAAGCGGTGCCCACCACCACATAGCTCTCATGACGACGCCTTCGAGAAGGACACGATGCCAAGAGCGTCGTTGACACCTTAGCTAGGGTTTTCACCCAAGAGACCATGAGGTGGGAAAAGGTAGGACTCATCCGAACGACGTATCCAAGAAGAAAAACGACACCCTCAGGTGTCATCGTCGTCGTGGCCGGCATGAGTCGATCTGGAATTATCCAATCCGGATCCCCACTTCCCGCTCCGCCCCAACCCGGTAACCGGCTAGCAGCACGACCTTGTCCGGTAAGACGGAGTGCGCGCAACATGGGTTCGAGGAAGAAGCAGCTCGGCGTCGTTGGCCGTTGGGGCAGCAAGCCGTGGTACCAACCCGCCGGTGAATCTCCGGCCATCCGGTCCGATCCCTGGCAGCCCTCCCACCCCTCCGCGCCACCGGACAGGGAGGCCATCCCAGCGGCCGCCACCCCTTATCGGGAAGGGTTGCACCAGCCCTGCCGCCAAGGCCACCGCTGGGACACCGGCCGGCCGCCACATCGTTGTTGTCCATCGGGGCGCCAATGTCCGAATCGGCGCCACCATGATCCAAATTGGGGCCAGGCCCTCGATATGAGGCATCCCATGCCACCCATATACCCGAGAGGGGAGGCAGTACCTCCGCCGCCGCCGTCGGACGCACGGGCTTTGCCCGACGCCAACCACCGGCGGTGACAGAGGAGGGAGGGGAAGGCAGGGAGGGCCGGCAGCTGGGTCTAGGGGCCCTCGATCGCCCGCGTGGGGGGGGGGGGCGACGGAGGGGGAAGGGGAGGGGCGGCCGCAAACTATTGGCGGCAGTGGCGGCGGAGGACGACTCACGAGGGGAGGGAGGTCGCGAGGGGACGTTTCGAAAACCCCTCTATCCACAACCATGACATGATGTTCTACCTACGAACCAAGTTCACTTTTTGAATTTTTGATCGTCGAAAACCACTAATGCTCTGATACTCTGAGAATTGTTGTTTTAAGTGAAATTCTGAATGTATAATGCATTTTTTTTCTTTTTGAAAAAGATCATATCTATTTGTAAAAGTTTACCAGCAGTACACAGCACCTCAGACGTAATAAAAATACAGCGGATTAATACGGCTACTGCAGAAGACTAGTGTTTTACTCTAGCTGAAGTTCTACATATCGATCAATCCACTCCGTTTTTTCGATCGCACGGCTCAATAGCAATTTGCACCTAAAGTCAAAGCATGATACACGGTGAGCCCCCATGCCAAAGTGTGTCAGATTCTCGCGTAGTGTAGTAATAGTAGTAGAGTGCAAGAGTGCTCGGAAAAGAAGGAAAAACAAGTGCTGTGCAAGCAGGTTGACACTGGAGAGTTGACATTTTATGTGCCGACGATCGAGCACAGAACATGTTCTCTGATATATAGAATAAGTTGCCATGCATGATTTCAGGGCCGTACCCGTACTTACTACCTGGTAGTACCATCCGGAACCGTCGCGGTTCACGCAATTCTTTATGCACGACACGCTATGCCTATGTTTCTCAGTTAGGTACGTACAGGTATATCACATGCTCAAGCGGAAAACCCGGCCGGCTAACGATTACCAAGTCATGAGACACAGAATAATTCTGTAGGTATACGTATACGACTTGGATCAAGGAACTCATCACTACATAAATCAAGGTTAGTCATGAGAGATTTCATATGCACGTTATATCGTATCCGATGCTATTTGACAACCACCATTGGTTGGGAACTAGGCATGATTGCCTACGATGGTGGGTCGCCCGCCAAAACATATACACCATATCTCTACTTTTTTTTAATAATAAAGAGAATTGGGTTTCTGGTCGTCCGTAAAAAAAAATACCCTTAAAGTTGCTATAAATTACCCGCCATGCCACTCTGCTTCACTGCGTAGACCTGGGTTCGATTCCCAGGTTGTCCTATTTTCGGGCGTGACGCCCCTAATTTTCTTTTCTTTTCTTTTCTCATTTCTGTTTTTGTTTTTCCTTCTTTAAATTAATTCGAGATTTTCAAATTACAAACGGTTGCAAGTTTTGAGAAAAAATATTCGAGAAATCATAGAACGTTTATGAATTCGAAAAATGTGCGAGAAATCATAAATTTTCTGCAGTTTTAATTCTTTTGGTGATTTACAAAACTGTTTGCAAATTATAAAAAAATCACAATTTTTCAAAATTTGTTCCCAATTATAAAAAAAGTTCATTGATACAAAAAAGGTTTGCTAACTGAAGAACTGTTCATGAATTCAAAAACCATGCATGCATTTCAAAAAATGTTCGTCTGAACAAAACAAATGTTCATGAATTCGAAAACTATTCATGCATTTCAAAAAATGTTCGTCTGAACAAAATAAATGTTCATGCATTAAAAAATGCCCAAAATTTTAAAACAAATGTTTGTCGATTAGAAAAAATGTTCGTCGATTCAAAAGTCTTTCATGTCTAGGATTTGGGTAGTTTTTGGAAAGTCTTTTTATGTCTAGGCGCTAGGAGTAGTTTGTGGTCCATGAAATTTGTTTTTAAAGTTTTAAACATTCTCTTGCGCGGCACAATGACAAGTGTGCCATGCAGTGGCAAGCTCATTGCCTTGGAATTTACCACGTCGAATGCATTGCGATCACATGGACATTGCGTACATCATCAACGAGGGTGGAAAGAAAGATAAGTGAAAACATGGTGAGCCACCGTGTGAAAATAGAGGACGCTCATAATTTGGGGTATTGAGTCATACTTATTTGGCTGTCGTGTAACTTTTTTGTCTCCCGTTGCAACGCACGAGCATGTTTGCTAGTGAAAACAAAAATGTGTGCGCGTCGTGATTCGAACCAGCGACCTCCTCGTTAAGCATACGTTGCAGTACCAATAAAATAAACTTCAGCCTATATTCGTAAAAATGTTGACCATATATATGAAAAATTGTTCATAACATGTACTTTTAGAAAAATCTACATCATGTAATTGAGAAATGTAGAGCGTGTATCAGAAAATGTTTCAGGTGTATATAGAAAATGTACACCGTGCACAAAAAAAAAGATACGTATTGAAAAAATGGAAAAAAAAGTAACAAAGAAACATAAAGAAAGCGAAGCGAGAAAAAAAGAAGAGAAAACCAGAAGTATAACAAGGAAAAATGGAAAAAGCCGGAAAAGAAACAACAGAAAACCGAAGAGAAAAAAACCCGGAGAAAAACCAATGCCAAAGAGAAAAGAAAAGAAAGAAACAGAAGAAAACCAAGGAAAGAAACAAAAAAAATTAAGGAAAAAGAGACAGTAAGAAAGAAACAA